CTTTAATGTTTCGCCCTTCTGTGAAGCCCGAAGTCAACTAATGGGCTAATGATAACTATCAGAATGCCTACCATTTGAAATAAATAAAGAAATTTTATTAAGTTAATATTTTTAAACTAACCAAATATTTCCCTTCACTCACCATATATCAGGATACATTTGATTAAACGTGGGAAAATTCAATTCTTGTTACTACGTACTTTTGACGTAGCCTCCATTACAGAAATCGTTTTTAATTGTTTGGCTTTCTTTTGGTGATACTTTTTTTAAGCAATTGTTAAAACCAAAAAATTCACACGCAGCCACGCCATTAATATTTTTGTTTCACGTGGGCGAGCTTTCCATGGTAGCTGCGAAGAATAATGCTATATGAGTAGCGACAGGGTAAGTAAATAATGAAAAATAAGAAGACACCCACCCTCTTTCCTGCTAGGAGCAAATCCTGTGGTTATAGACTTTGCCTACTTATAAGAATGTCATTTTCAATCTTTAGAGTCACTTAATTAAAACTAATATGGCATGGACAATCATTGATTCACCCAGTAGGAGTATATTTCCATAAACAAAGCCATTTCACTTGCCTCGAATTTACCATTGCACTAAAATTGTTTGACTTACCTAGCCTAGGCTGAAGTTATTGGAAAATTCGTCTGGAAAATGTAAACGCATTATTCCTTGAAAGCACTTAGCCTAACCAATTTTTTTGTTAATAGACTGCATTAGTGGTTATATGAGAGATGAAATAGAGTAAAGTGGGAGTCGGTCTTGAATTGTCTATAAACTTCATGAATATTTAAGGGTGCTTGCAACTCTTAAGGAAGTATGGCAGCGAGAGATATGTGACATGAGGCAAAGACTCAATCCCAGAATCCCCTAGCCCCCACCCCCCCTCCACTCCCCCCCTCACCCCTTTTCCTCCCTCCTCCCAGCAACTCAATTCTACCCTTTTCCATGCACACACCCCCACACACACACCCACACATTATATTGAGTTGAGAATGGAGTAGAGAAATCAGGTAATTAATCTTTTTGCTTGCTAATTCCGCTGATACTATTGCCTGTGTGAGAAGAACATCTGTCTTTGGGGAGTTTAACTTTGACAGGGGCTGGGCAAATAATTAGAGGAGACAAAGAGGGCAAGCAGTCAAATGAAGACTTATTATGAAATCGAGTTTAACTCAATTAATTAAAATTAATAGCCACATTCTCCTGAACTTTTTAAGTTATACAACATTATTTTCTAAGAGTTCAGAAAACATCTTAACGTACTTAAATGTGCTTTGATTTTAAACCGAAAAGTTGCATACGAATTTATCCAACAAATAATTATCTTGTCAATGTAGGTATTTTCAAAAATAAGCCCAAAAATATTCCCACTTAGCAATAGAACAAACGCGCCAAAATACGGCAAAAGGACATTTGATTTGATAAGAAAGAACGGAATTAATAACAATAAAGATGTACCATTCAGATTTCTGTGTTTTAGAACAATGAAACAATTTACACTTCGTCATTCTCAAAAAGGGCTACGGAACGTTTTTTAATAGCTGACGATATGGAGCTCTAATTTCAGCAGAAATAATACAGCTCTTAATGTCAGTGAAAAGTATCATGACTGACCTGTTGCCATGAGTGATAGTCCGTTGTAGACAAACAAACATTTTCACTCCTAGTGGGCTTCACCAGGGTTGTTTCGCTACTGTCCGTTCCATCTACCTCCTTTTGATTGAAGAGGAAGAAGATGAATTAATGTAGCATGACTAATCACAGAACTAAATCGACCAGCCAACAAGATCTGGGCATTGTAAACACAATCTCACTCGTAGATCTGGCGATCAAATGGCAAAGATTACACACGATTATATTTCAAGTTGAAGTATTCTAATCTGAGAAAAAATTGGCAATTCTATGACCCTGAATTTAAATTGGATAAGAATCATAATGTCCTGACTTACATACTTCATAATACTACTGTCCTCGTTGTTCTTAAATTTTCTAAACAATATCAATCTAAAAGATTTCGATAAGTAATGAAGGGAAAAGAGTATCACTATTTTTCCAATTTCTCTAACCAATTAATTTAAAGGCTTTGCAGTCACCTCTTTACAATCTAATTAGCGTAAGTGGCAAAGCTTATTTCATACTGATATTTTCTTATCATTATGAGGTGAGTTATAATTACCATTTTTATAGGCCATCGTGTTTATGTGCTTATGCGTAACGAGTTCTATTGGCAATGACGTATCTCTGCGGAATAAGTGCTGAGAAACTCATTGGAATCTATTTATTTATTAATTTCAAATGGCAGGCTTTATGATATTTATCATTAGCCCTTAATCTTTGACATCAGCTTCCCCCAAAAAGGGGGGGGGGTACATTTATAGCAGTTAATTAATAGCAATTCATGAAGGGGGGTACATTTATAGCAGTTAATTAATAGCAGTTCATTTAGCTGTCTTCTTGCTTCCCAGTATCTCTGGCTTAATTACATTTATAGCAGTTCATTAATAGCAATTCATTAGCTGTCGTCTTGCTTCCCAGTATCTCTGGCTTTCTATGTAGCAGTTAATTAATAGCAATTCATTAGCTGTCTTCTTGCGGCAGTTAATTAATAGCAGTTCATTAGCAGTCTTCTTGCTTAACAGTATCTCTGGCTTTCCGTCCTTGTCTTTAGAGCTGGATTACATTTATAGCGGTTAATTAATAGCAGTTCATTAGCAGTCTTCTTGCTTCCCCGTATCTGGCTTAATAGTCTTCTTGCTTCCTACATTTATAGCGGTTAATTAATAGCAGTTCATTAGCAGTCTTCTTGCTTCCCCCTATCTTTGGCTTTCCGTCCTTGTCTTTAGGGCTGGACATTGAATCAGTGTGTCTTCTCCATTTCCTCATGCAGGTTACATAGGGGGCATGGCTTCTCCATTTCCTCATGTAGGTTACATAGAGGGCATGTGAGTGTTTACTCCCAATCTGTGAAGGTGTTTTGCCAGGCAATGGCTCCTGTAGGTTACATAGAGGGTATGTGGGTTGAGTGTATACCATTTCCTCCTGTAGGTTACATAGAGGGGATGTGGGTTGAGTGTATACTCTTAGGTTACATAGAGGGCATGTGGGTTGAGTGTATACTCCCAGGCTACATAGGGGGCATGTGGGTTGAGTGTATACTCCCAATCCAGAGGGCATGTGGGTTGAGTGTATACTCCCAGTCTGTGAAATGTTTTGCCAAGCAATCGTGTCCGGTACGTTTGTGAGGGTTTTTTGCCAAGCAATCGTGTCCGGTACGTAGTCTAAACGGCTCTGTCCGATACGTAGTCTAAACTCAGCAACGGCTTCGATTCTCGCCGCCGGGTATGTCGGAGAGTGCCACTGTCCACTATTTCTCCTCTATGTGGTAGAGTGCCACTCTCCACTGTTTTTCCTTTGTTCGAACTTTAAGTTCGTTGCAATCAAGAGTGCCACTGTCCACTCAATGGAATCTTAAAACACTAAGAATGAAACTGGGAGAGTGGACTGGCCATCTCAAAGCTTCCTTATCATCATTATGAAGTAATTTATTTGTTGGAGATAAAATCGACTTCTTCTTGCGCAATCATTGAACTCGGGGAGTAGTAATTTATTATAAATAAACTTCACAATAAATTAACATTATTATTTAGTTAGTTTCTATGTTTATTATTATTATATAAAATTAATATGAAAGTGCCAATATTTAGTAAAGAAATTCATAATAACGGAATTACTTAACCCATTTTATTTGATTTTTATTAGATATTAAGTGTTTATTTTATTAAATCATTGATTGTTTTATTTTATTCAATTATAAATATGATCTATCCATCTACTCTGTACTGGAAAGCAGGAAATTTGTTATGGGCATTTGAACTAAATATTAATACCTCAGCCAGAGTTGAAATGAGCACAAAGTAGATGAACTTGCCAACGAAAGATGATGGTTACACCAGTAAATGCATTCAATTTGACAGATTTATTCTACAAAATACTGAGATGAAAGCAGACGGAAGTGGGAAAGGAGGAAGAATAATTTCGGTTCACATCACAGAAGACAGCACTGGTTTCGTTGCCACACTGACTGCACTGTTTGAGATGTACTTGTTTTCTGACCACCTTGACGATACTGAGCTAATCGGAGGATTTCTTTCAAGATTGCCAGAGTATTGAAGTTGTAAAGAGCCGAGCATTCAACTAGAACACACTCCTTCCAGTGCTTCTTCACCAGTAATGCCAGATCACGGCGAAAAACAAACTTCTGGTTGATAAAAACGGGGTTGTGAGATAGCGTTAGATTATGTGACTGATACGGGGAATAGAGGGTATGCAGAGAACTCTCTGGATGATTCCTCAAAAATGTCCTATGGTTGGACCTGCCAGATCTTTGAATCGAGATTGAGGTAGCTGCCAAGGATTGGTGTCCAAAGTTATTGTTCACGTTCTTCAGCAGATCAATTTTGTTTGCCACAATCACCATTGGAACATGAACATTCGCAGCTAAAATTTGATCACGAAGAAGTTTGACATACTGGAACGAGAGTTCTGAGGTAATATCGAAAACAAGAATAAAGAAATCAGCTACGTGTAGACCCCATCCACGGAAATCTTTCCACGCATCAAGAGTATTCACGGGAAAGTCCTGCAACATCATGGGGCAATCGATTAAGCAGAAATTGAAGACTTGATAATTGAAAACAACCATGGGGTAGTAGTAATTTGGAGCGCTGGAAAAGGGCGATTTGGGGGTTTTAATAGGACCAGCCTGTAATAAACTATGAAGAAGACTCGTTTTTCCACATTTTCGAAAGCCCAAAACTGGAATTGTAATAAGCATACTGTTCAAGAAATTTCTGGGAGTTTCTAAAAGGGGGAAATCCGATCCCACCTCCTCACTTATTTCTCGTTGTGTTTCGGGCTGTGCAATTTGTTTCATCAAACGCAATTTACTGCAGAGTGGGGAAAAAGGTTGTTGAG